CACTTCCGGGATCGATCCCAGAACATCGATGGCGTGCCGCCGGACCAGCCGGTAAGTGAAGACTAGGCCTAAAAAGCTGTAACTTAGCAAGCAGTATTTAATGAGTAATAAAAACTCCTTGGGTATGATGAAAGACAGTAAAGCTGGAGGTCTGGTTTAAAGATGTTGCATTTTGTCATAAACATCCGGTATTGGAAGCTTCCATTCAAAGAACTAGCTGTTGTGGGAATTGAAGCGGCAAAGGGAACAACATCCGGGCAGCTGAAGCACTCTAAGAATTTTATAGCTATCTCATAAGAGCCAAGTGTGCTGACTGACTACTGCATTTTTGGTTGGCTGCTTAATAGTCATCTCAGTGGTAGTAGAGAATAGTGCAAAAAAGTAACTGACTGATCTGTCCTGCCTAATTAGAATTGATTATGAACCTGATAACATTTTCTTTCCATAGGAAGTCAAGTATCAAAGGGGTAGCTGTGTTAGTCTGGATCTGTAAAAGCAACAGAGTCCTGTGGAACCTTATAGACTAACAGACGTATAGGAGCATGAGCTTTCGTGGGTGAATACCCACTTCTTCGGATGCATGCAGTGGAAATTTCCAGGGGCAGGTATAAATAAAGGTAGGCATAGTGGTCAGTGGGCTTTTGGTATAGGGTGGTGTTAACGTGACTGTCACTTATTTGCACCGTGGCAAATAAGTGACGGTCACGTTAACACCACCCTATACCGAAAACACCACCCTATACCAAAAACCCACCAACCACTATGCCTACCATCATGCCTCCAGCTTCCATCCCGGACACACCACACGATTCATTATCTACAGCCAAGCACTGAGATACAACCGTATCTGCTCCAACCCCTCAGACCAAGACCAACACCTACAAAATCTTCACCAAGCATACTCAAAACTACGATACCCGCATGAGGAAACAGATCAACAGAGCCAGACATGTACCCAGAAGCCTCCTACTGCAAGACAAGCCCAAGAAAGAAACCAACAGAACTCCACTGGCCATTACATACAGTCCCCAGCTAAAACCTCTCCAATGTATCATCAGTGATCTACAACCCATCCTGGACAACGATCCCTCACTTTCACAGGCCTTGGGTGGCAGGCCAGTCCTCGCCCACAGACAACCCGCCAACCTGAAGCATATTCTCACCAGTAACTACACACCGCACCATAGTAACTCTAACTCAAGAACCAATCCATGCAACAAACCTCGATGCCAACTCTGCCCACATATCTACACCAGTGACACCATTACAGGACCTAACCAGATCAGCCACACCATCAACAGTTCATTCACCTGCACGTCCACCAATGTAATATACGCCATCATATGCCAACAATGCCCCTCTATGTACATCAGCCAAACTGGACAGTCCCTATGTAAAAGGATAAATGGACACAAATCAGATATTAAGCATGGCAATATACATAAACCTGTAGGAGAACACTTCAACCTCCCTGGACACACAATAGCAGATTTAAAGGTAGCCATCCTGTAGCAAAAAAACTTCAGGACCAGACTTCAAAGAGAAACTGCTGAGCTTCAGTTCATCTGCAAATTTGACACCATCAGCTCAGGATTAAACAAAGACTGTGAATGGCTAGCCAATTACAAAAGCAGTTTCTCTTCTCTTGGTGTTCACACCTCAACTGCTAGAAGAGGGCCTCATCCTCCCTGATTGAACTAACCTCGTTATTTCTAGCCTTACTCACTCTTGCTTGCATATTTATACCTGCCCCTGGAAATTTCCACTACATGCATCCGAAGAAGTGGGTATTCACCCACGAAAGCTCATGCTCCTATATGTCTGTTAGTCTGTAAGGTGCCACAGGACTCTTTGTTGCTTTTTCTATAGGAAGTTAGCTTTAACACTTAATTTTCAATTTGTATTTGAACACTAGTGTTAAATGGAACACTAGCCAGCTTCTTGAAGATAAGCCTGGGTGTTGAAACTTACAAAGCTTCACTGTCCTTACCACGTCACATCTTTCAGATATTCAAACTTCTAATGTTTCAGACAACTTCCTAAATCCTAGAAGATGTGTAAAAACTAACATGCCATGCTTTGTCCCCTCCCTGACTTACTTAAAAGAACAACGTATAAAGGATTTTAAATGAGTACAGCAGTGCAAAGAGTTTAACTTAGATGACTTGTCACACTACCAGCCAGTAGACCAGCTCCAGCCTATTTCCAGTATTCGCACCTATGACAGATTCAGGTTCTGCAGAAAGTGAGCTTTCACTTTTTAAAAAGCCTCTATCCTTTATGTCTGCAAAGAAAACAGTCCAAATGGAAATAGTCTGTAGCATTTTCTTAACCTGAAACAGTTCTAAGAATCATAAAATGGACTTGTTGCATTTCTCTGAAGCATGTGGTTCTTGTTATTGGAGATTAGGCTAGATGGGTCACTGGAGTGATCCAGTACAGCAGTTCCTATCTTCCTGTTAATCTCTGGGAGCTTGTACATCTGTGTTTGTTTGTTTGTTAGATATAAATGAGGTATGGGGAGACCAGCAAGGTGCAGTGGCTACACAATTGAAAAGAGCCTTTCTATTCTCTCAAGTGCAAAGACTTCTGGCTGCAGTGAGGGAATGGGTCTCCATTACTTCTCCCCCAGCTTCCTGGCTCTTGAATCAGGAAGATGGGAGGAGGTCCTTGCTATACTACCCTCTCACATAATTTAATTGCTTCCAACCCCCCCCCCCCCCCCCCCGCCCATGAGTAAGTAACTTTAAGGCTTGTCTACACCATGCAGTTTTTAGCAACAAGTGTTGAGACAGCCTTGTCGCTAAAAGTCAGCGTGTGTAAACGCTTTGTTGGCACTATTGCCAACAAAATACTTCCAGCCCCGCGAGCAGCATTAGCTTTGTCCTCAGGAGAGCACTCCTGCCGACAAAGCCACGTTCACACTGCCACTTGTGTCAGCAAAACTT